GGGAGAGGAAAGAAGGGGCAGGGAGGAAGGAGAGGGAGAGGGGAGTCAAGGAGGGATGGGGCGCGGGGGTCCACCTTGCCCAGGAGCTCAGCCTTCCCGTAGCCGAAGAGCAGAAGTGCAAAGCTGTGGTTGACGCCGTAGATGGTGCCGTCGGGCAGCAGGGTGATGAGCCCACTGAGGGTGCAGAACACCCAGACGGAGGCTGCGTAGGTGGGCATGGGCTCCCCGCTGTGGGCATCCTCAGGGCCAGGCTGGCACTTGAGCTTCAGGCTCAGAGGGAAGGTGGTGCCGTCTCTCGCTCTCCCCACTGACCTCTGGATCCTGAGATGCTGGGGGACAAACCGGCCGAGGGGCTAGACTGGACACAGCTGGACCCTCCCTGCACTCAGCCCCACCCCACAGACACATGGGGGGCCCTCAGGGCAGGCCCAAAGCCAACTTGGGCATGGTGGGGGGTGGTCTCCAGACTTCCTCTCCTCTCTCTGCACCCCCATCTTGGCCTGGAGGACACAATCTAACAGTACCCTACAGCCAACCTCCCTGGTCTGGAATCGCTGCCCCCCCCCCACCTCCGACCCCCACAGTTCATGATCTCATCCCACTCCCTCTAGCAGGCCCGGCCGACATCACCATCCATCTCTACCTGCCATCCCAGCCTGGGTTCCCACCTACCCTGCCCACTCCTCACACCAGCCCCACCCGCCCACACCGCCTACCTTGGGGATGTGCTCCCCGGGCGGGGGGATCTGCACGGAGGGAATCAGGTCCGTGATGTGCTGCCCGGCCACCTCCTCCCCACTCGAGTAGCCGTGGAGATGCGCAAAGAGGCTGTCACAGGACAAGATGGTCCCCTTCAAGAGGGGCTGTGCTTAGGGCCAGTGTGACTCCACACACGGGCTCACCTCGGGCAGACGGCGAGACCCCTGGCCCCTGCGGGGGCCTCCCACCTCAACTGCCCCCACCAGGCTGGCCTTAGGCAAGGGCTCAGGCAGCGGCCCTCTCTGTGCTCTGGGGAAGGAGGGCCCAGGCCCAGGCACGGCCATGTGGGCAGTAGAGCAAGGCTGAGCCCCCGAGGCCCCAGGAGGGGACTGTGCAGATCAGGGAGCAAGGCCAACGGGGTGAGACGCTTTCTTGGGCAACCATTTAAGGGGAACAGAGATTGGGGAACAAAAAGCAGCCAGTTCTACGTTGCTGGATTTTAACGTGACTTTTTCAAGGGGCACAGATAAAGTGGCGGGTAGGATTCAGGTGAGGTGGGTACACGGGCAGGGCCTAAGGGAACCTGGCACCCCCCCTAGCTCCCCAGGAGGGCAGCGGGCACTCACATCAAGCTTGAAGGAGACCCAGGCAGAGACCCGCTCCACAGGCTCCAGTAGCACCACACAGCAGCGCCCCTGCTCCGGCCGCAGCCTCTTGGTCCACACGGAAACTGGGACCTTCGCCCCACTGCGGCTGACCACGTCCACCTGAAGCACAGAGAGCCCTGGGCAGGAGCCAGACGCTGGGCTTGGCCATCCACCCCGGGACCCATGCGCCTGCGGCTACTCACCACCATCCCAAAGACCACGGCCGCGCAGCCGTCCGCCTCCACCTGCTCCTCGCTAAGGGCCTCGGCCTCGGCCGAGTCGGACTTGAGGAAGAACTGTGTGAGCTTCTGGCCAATCAGGTCACGGCTGCTGTACCCCAGGAGCTCACAGGCCTTGTCGTTGGCCACCAGGATCTAGGGACACAGACGAGGGTGAGCAGGGCGCCTCAAGTGGCCACACGGGGCAGGGGGACTTCCTGAAGTCCACACCCGGTGTGGAGGGCAGCCAGCCGACTCCAGCTCCATGCCAGGTGTGTGTCAGAGAGCCCGGGAGGCAACAGTGCTGAGGAGTTGTTCGGTGCTGGGGAGTCCCCAAATACATCTTTTACCCAAACAGGCTGACTTGTTCCCCGTTCACTCTGAGAACCACCCCCCAAGTCTCCTGTGACCAGATGGGCAATGCCAGACAGCCTCAAGCACAAGGCGCCCGAGTGGGGCACAGGCCCCAGCCCCCACCCCATGCCCACTGGCCCGTGCACACCTCAGTGGTCTTGGCATCTACAGTGAAAATGGCCTTGTTGGGGTTGCCCACGGGGGCCGGAAGCGGGGGCGCAGACAGGCCTGAGGGTAGGCTCCGCAGCAGGGAGCAGCAGGAGGTGCTGCCCAGGGAGCTCGTGGGTTCTGAGAGCTCAGGCAGGCTGAGGCAGGGCGGCTGGCTGGCACAGAGGTTCTGGGCGGCCAGGGACGACAGGCAGTAGGAGCTCCACTGGTCCTCTGGGGAGACCAAGCCACCCACTCAGACTCCAGCCCTCCACCCCAACCATTCCATTTCTGGGCCCTCACCCTCCATCCACACTGGCCACTCAGCTGAAGTCCTGGCCCTGACCCCTGCTACCCTCTCCCATCCAGTGCCACAAGGAGAAGACAGAGACGCAGGCAATGGCCCTTGTGCCACCCCCACCGCCACCCCTGGCCCAGTGCCCCAGGAGCAAACAGAGGTGACCACTCGTGCTGCCCACAGTGCTCATCAAAGGTTCACTGTCCCTACCCCCTCACTGAGGAAACCAACCGACCAACTTACCAGGGAGTGTCACCCTGCTCTGGCACAGCTTGGAGAGGCCGCGCTTCCTACTCGGGTGTCTGTGAGCCAAGGACAAGGCCTTGCTGGGTGTGGACACGCCCTGTGCACCCGGGTTATCCATCGATGATCCCTGCTGCTCAGCCCCAAAGGCCGGCACACTTCTGTCTGCCATCAGCCTGCTTCTCCCAGGTGTCAGCTGAAAACCAGAAAGGACAACGGGAAGACATGCAGGTGGCTCACCCACCGGTGGGTCACTCTCAGGCCCAGCTGGCTCAGGCAGCCCTCAAGAAGCCCTGATAGGTGAGAAGTGGGTGCTCTGGTAGAATTCTTGATGCACATGGGTCACGGCGAGACCGCCCCAAGCGGCACAGTTCACAGCAGCAAAACATCAACAAAAAGGCCCTCCCCAGCAAGGAAGGGCCACCCACCCTGACAGCACCACACAGTACAGTCACTGCATACGCTGCCGGCACAGAGGACCCTTCACCACGTAGCAGACCACAGTTCTGCAAAATGCAAGGCCGTGCCCACTGTTGAAGTGCATGGTCATACTAGTGGAGCTGTTCTTGAGAGAGATAGACAGACGTGAGCCCTGGGCAGGCAACTCCCTGGGGAACACAACAGGGCTGGGAAGGGACAAAGCATGGCGCCCAGGGCACCCAGGAGTGGTCCATGTCAGCTTTGGTATGACTTGCCGGGCATGCATACACACACACGGACTTATCCAGCGTGATCCTGGATGGGCTGAAACCCAAGAGGACGGGCCAGGAGGCGAGGAGGATGAGTGACTCGGAATTGTAAACGGGCTGAAGTCACTGCTTCTCAGTCACTGGACACCGCCTGGTCATATACCCTCAACTGCTCCTGTTTAAGGCCATTATTGCAGCCATGGTGTCCACCCAGTTGAGGATGCCACCAGACCAGTGTGTCCTTCCGTCGTGGGTGGGGTTGCTAGGAGTTGGAACTGTCAGGCAGAATTGGAAGGTGGCAGGGCAGGTGAGGGGAAAGACACCCGAAGCTGGTGAAACACACTTCAAGGACAGACACTGCGAGAGGCCAGGCCTCCCCTTCGCCTTCACTGGCCTTCCAGAAGCTAAACCTTATAGGTAACTTTGAACCCTGTTGCTTAGCCCCGGACAACAAAGTTGCAGTGGAAAATTCCCCAGCTACTCCCTCCCCCCAGACTAACTCTCCACCTCTCACCCTGATGGCACACACAGGGAACTCTGGGGCGGGCGGACCCACTCTACTCACCGGGACCCCATAGGTGGGGACTGAGTGGCTGACATGAGGACAGCATCCCTTGGGAGTAATAAAACCTCCAGGACTGGGAGGGCAAGGGTTACAGTAGCCAAGGGAAGGCAAGACTTCACTGGGTCCCAATGGGGTCCTGGTGGTGCAGTGGGTTAAACAGTTGGGGGGGTGGGGGTGACAGTCTGATTCTGTACATATGTATAGCCCCAGAAACCCTCTAAAGCCGTCCTGTTCTACAGGGTCGCTTGGGGTCCCATCCACTGGATGTTTCAGTTAAAGCAACCAAACTCACTGCCAGCCAGTGGCTTCTGACACAGCGACCAGACAAGGCAGGCTAGAAAATGCTCCCTTGAGTTTCTGAGGCTGTAACTCTAAAAGATGGAGAATTACCATCTTTGTCCCCAGGAGTGGCTGCTGACCTTGCGGTTAGTGCTCTGACATGAGACCCCCTGTGCCACCAGGGCTGCCATAGAAGGTACCAGTAAGAGATCATCGATGAGCAGCAGATGGCCCGGGAAGGCGAGCATCAAGGGGCTCAGCTCTGTAGCTGCCCATCTCCAGAAAGGGCGCACAGGTGGGGGTGAGGCCGGGGGGTGGGGGGGCGGGCGTGCGATGGGGGCAGAGGTACCCGCGTGCCGACCACACCCTACCCCCGCCGACCCACACCATTTACTGGATGACGCCTCCACTCTGAGTGGGACGCCCCCCTTGCTGAGGATAAAGAGGCTCGGACGCCCGCAATTGTTTCGGGAGGTAGAGCCCGGGGCGGTGACCACGAGGGCGCCCGCGGAAGAGCCGGTCCCAAGGGGTCAGGGGCGCGGCCAGGCCGCGGGAGCGGGCGACGGGGCAAACGGCCGGGGGCTCGGACTCGTCGAGCGGCGGGCGCAGGATGGCGGTGGCCCCTGCCTGCCCCAAGGCCCGGGGCCTACGCACCGGCGCCCCAAGCGCAGCCTCTCACCTGGGTCGGGAGGGTGGCCACTGCTAGACTGGCTTCACTGGAAGGGAAAGTGCCGGCCCGCGCTTGGCCCCGTCGGCCAATCGAGGAGCGTCTCGCGACGACGAACCAGGCCACGGACCAATCAGTGACTCGTGTGGGCGGGACTCCGCGGGCTCAAACCAGAAGCCCGCGCTAACGGTTGCTAGGGCCCGTCGGACGCTCTGTACGGCGCTCCGGAGAGGCCAAAAGAGAATCAGCGCGTCGGGGAGCCCGCCCGTGGACGCCGTTTGTTCCAGTCTCCTGGAGGACAAGGGTGCGCTGAACTGAGCTCGGCACGGAGATGGGTCGCGAAGCGGCTCCCCCACGGGCCCGGCAGCACAGCGGAGAGTTGCCGCCCAGGATTTCTGAACCTCAGAATCGGCGAGGCCGAAACGAGACGGACGGAAGCTGGGTGGGAAAACCGGGCGTCTACAGCTGCCCAGCGCTGTGCGTTAGCCAGGCGCCGTGAGAAAGCTGTCCTGCCGCCCGGCCCAAGCTACAGATGGAGCCAGCGAGGCTCGGAGACGCCAGGTCGGGCTGTGCTCGACCCGCTCGCCCAGGGCCGTGGCCACTTTACGTCTTGGTGGTCGGGACGGTGACATGAGCGAGCTGACAAGCGCAGAGCTTGTCCCAACTGCTGGGATGCCCTCGCCGCCGCCCACGTCTCGCCCCCGGACTCCTCCCGGCGCAGTCTGCTGCAGCTACCTGCAGCTAGGGAGGTGAGGCTCGCGGCGCGGGCCCGTGGGGGAAGGGAGGGGCGGGCTCGGCCTCTCGGTGGAACTACAACTCCCACACAACCAGGGGCCGAGGATGGGCTGGGTCTCTCCAAGGAACTACGGCTCCCATGAGGCGTCAGGGCTGCGCAGGTGCGTGGGGGGGGCGAACCGCGGCACCCAGCTTCCATTGGCTGGGCAGCTTCTGCTCCGGGAGCTCTGATTGGTTGAAGGCTCTGAGGCGACACATTCCGGAAAGGGGAAGAATAGCCAACATGGCGGCGGAACGCGGCTCGGGGCAGCAACAGTCGCAGGAGATGATGGAGGGTAAGCAGCCCCGACAGCGGCAGGCCGGCATTGCCTCCTACCGGAGAGGAACTCGGAGCCCCAGCCAAGGCCCGGTCCCTGACAGCTACTCGCGGGCTCGGCAGAGCGGGGCACTCGGAGCCCGGGAGAGCCGGCCGGGGGCGGCAGCGCGGGAAGACCCGCGGGAGAGCGGCGGCCCGGGGCGGGGGCGGAGTGGCAGGAACCTCACGCGACCCTCTGAGAGGGCCGGGCGGGCGGGAGAGGGCCGCGGTTGCTGGTGGGGAAACTGAGGCTCGAGCGCCGTGTGACCCTTATGGCGAGGGCCCTTCCTGCGAGCGGACGGGGCTGGGGAGGGGTGACTGGGAATTGGAGTCGGTGGTCGAGGCTTCGAGGGCTGGGTCTCTTGTCCAGGCTCTCGTCATCGCAAAAGGCAGAGCCCGGCCGTTCCTCCCGCCCTGCTGGGAGGCTTGTTTTCACCCCACAGCGGGGTCGCGCCGTTACTGTGCAAGCACTGATGACCCCGGGCAGTGTGGAGAGAGCTGGCCGCGCCGCCGGCACAGCGCTCTGAGGTTCTCTGGCCCGGGGATGGTCATGCGTGATGGCCTGGGGGCGGGAGACCAGGGCATGCGAACTTTGATATGGTGCGTGCATCAGTGTAACCAAAGAATGAGCCAGGCTGGCGCCGTGGTTACGCACCAGGCTGCTACCCACCAGGGCAGCAGTTCAAAACCATCAGCAGCTGTTGGAGAAGAAAGCGGCTTTCTTCTCCGGTTCAGAAACTCCGAGGCAGTTGTGCCCTGCCCTACAGGGTAGACGCCATAACACTGAAGTTTGGGTTCTTGGTTTGTTTGTTTTTTGAAGCAAAAAAGTGCTTCTCCCTTCCCCCTACCATCTCACCCACCCCCTCACTTGTCTCCACATCCAGTTCCCCTCTTGCTCTCCCCATAACCCTAAACCTTTTCCTCTCCCATTCCCACAAAACCCACCGAGTTAGGGATCTCTCCCACGAGTCAACTTCCTTCACAGCTCCAAATCTTTATTGCCCTGCCAGTACCCTCACCCACCCCTGCCCCTGCCCCTGCCCCACAGCCCGTCTTCAGGTTGCAGTCATATCACCTCTCACGTGCTGGCCACCCTGCCCACCCTCAGATAGACTCTCCTCCCACCTCAGGTACGCTCACCCTACCAGCTCGACCTCATGTTACCTGGCCACCATCACTTGCCTCCAGCCCTCCTGAGACCCTAGCCCTTTGGGAAGCCTTCCATAAATCTACCACCAGTTGGACTGGGCCTCCCTCTGGCCTACATCCCCGGCTCCTGACCTGGGTGGAAGCCACTCTCCAGTGTTGACTTCACACAAGTGTGTGCATTGAGTTGAACGTCACATTTGGACTTCAGACTCAGATCAGCTTCTCTTGTGGCTGAGAGGGCCAGGTGCTCCTTAAATAAGCAGGTTGGAGGAGAGGGGGCGGTTTCTTCTGTAGCTACCTTCCTTCTGGGAGAACTCCCTGTAGAAGATTCCATGTAACTCCAAGCCTCTGGTGGTTGCTTGCCCTGTATCCACAGTGCCTCCGCTCGTTGGGGTTGGGGGCCAGCCTTTGGAACTTTGAGTCAGGTCAGTGCCCATCACATGGCCTTATCCATCTCTGGGCTGCCCTCTCCCTTTTCCCCAAAGCTCTTGCCTACCCACAGCCTGGTCGGAGTCCACCTGGGTGGCTGTATTAGTCTAGGTACTCTAGAGAAACAAATCCACAGCAACTCATGTATAAGAGAGTTTTATGTAAAGAAAGTGTGCATCATGAAAACATCCCAACCCAATGCTGCCCAAGCCCACAAGTCCAACATTAACCCATTAACCCAACACCAGTCCACAAAGTCCTCCACCTCCTCACAAAACAGAGGCAATGACGCCGACTGCAGGAGGAAGGCTGAGTCAGTGAACGAATAAGCATCTCAGCACTAGCAGGGGTCTCCACACGGCTGCTCCAGCACCCAGGGCTGCATCGGGATAGGTCCATGTGGCTTCTCCTTGGGCATGTCTTATAGGACGTCAATCTTGCAAGCTGAAGCAGGGAACTGCTAAGGCAGCTGCACCCGGTGTGACCATCACAAAGCAAGAGACCTGAGAACTAGAAAGGCAAGGCTCACCACCCATTTATCCCTCCGCTTTTCAATTAGCCCCACATGTGATTATTGGCCAGGCTGGCACAATTAACTAACTCAGTGGCGGTGTGAATTTGAGTCTTTAAACAGGGCCGGTCAGCTGGCCACACAGACAGTGGATCCTGGAGGAGGTTACGTGAGGGTCCACAAAGGCATCCTCTGCGGCCAGCGGCCAGCCAAGCAAAAGTCTGCAGGCACCAAAATCTCCTCTGATCTGTGGTCCCGTCCACCAGAGGAGCTGGAGCACAGCCATGGGAGACACTGGTGCCCTCGGCCTGCCCGGCATCCTCCACGTTCCATGCGGCGGCGGCCCTTCTCACTGCCTGCCTTCAGTCGACAGGCGAGTCGAATCGGAAGAGTCAGGCGACGAGGAAGGGAAGAGGCACCGCAGCAGCCTTGTGGCGGAGCCGAGTGCACAGAGCCTGAAGGACAGAGAGCAGAGCGGCCTGGAGAACCCCGAAGGTATCAGGGCCCTGGGCGGGACACTCACTCGTGGAGAGGCCACGATGCCACTTGAGGGCTGCCCCGGGAAGTGGCTATCCTGTGTGCTGTGCCCCACGGAGAGCCTGTTCTAAGTCCCGCTGGATACGAGGAGGGCCACATGCCCTGCCGGGCATCAGAGCGAGTCTGTTACTCGCTGGAAAGAGCCAGCTTTCCAACAGGATGCGGCTGTGCTCCTTTGCTGTGAGCACGTCGGCAGTGTCCGGCTGCTGGCTGCCGTGTCGGTGATTCAAGCCCACAGGCCCTCCAAGGAGGAGGTGAGCCCTCTGTGCCTAAGGAGAGTTGTGCTCCTGGGAGCTGAGGGCAGGGCTTCGGAGAGCATGCCCCGAGCAGCAGACCTGAGAGGTCTCCCCTCGGGGGTGTCAAGGTGTTCATCAGTCATACGTCGGTCTTACACCCACATGGAACAACCAACGTGCGCGCTTAAAAACAGAAAAGCGCGTCCTCTGTGCCCCAGTGTAGATGTCCGGTAACCATGGCAACCTCATTTTAAGGCAAGGAGGAGTCCCACAGACGTCTGGGCACATTTCCCTGTTGTAGCCGACGTGCAGGCAGTGGGGTGGGTGGGACGGGTGGGAAGGTGTCTGTAAGATGTGACACTGCTCGCAGCCAGCGCTGTGCTCAGTAGGGAAGTCAGTCAGCCCTCGGAGTAGCCAGGGCTTGCCGCTGCCCTTGTCTATGCAAGTCGCCCAAGGAAGCAAGCACAGGTGGAGCCTCTCTGCCCACTGCCTGTAGCACAGGCAGTACAGACACGCTTGGGACAGAGACCTGGAGGCTCACACAGCTGTGCCCTCAGGAGGGAGGTAGGGGGTGGGGGTTTTAGAGCACTTCTGCCCGGATCAGGCCATGGGGCAGGAGCTCACCTGTGTGTGTCGGGCTTCTGCCAGGATAGTTTCCGGAAGGAACCCTGAGATTCCAGTGATGCGATCTTTGGGAGTGGGTTAGGAGTCTCTTGGTTTTTCCCAATTTCTGTCCCATTTGACTTGGGTTGGGTGGCATCCTGTAAAGTTAGAGACAAACTGTCATGAACGCTGTTCCTGGTGGTCCTTCTGGCCTTGAGCAGGGCCTGTGTATCAGCCCTCTCTTCTGGGTAGGGGCCGTGAGGGGTGCTCAAGGGTAGCGTAGGCCGCAGTGGGCAGGGGCCAGCAGTCCCCTCCGTCTAGCAAGATGAAGCCCTGTGTGTGAGGCATCTCAGCGTGCCCAAGCGAGTGCACGCGTGCGTGTGTGTGGTCTTGCGTGGCTAAGGGTTTTGTCTGTGGGTCCTTTCAGGGGTGGCCGCTCCTGGGAGTGAGTGAGTGAGGAGGCGAAGGGCGCTGTCCATGCAGGTCTGCGTGAAACCTGAGCAGTGTGGCCACTCCGTGCAGCTGGCCTTTTGGGCCCTGGGGAGGCTGTGTGAATTATTCAGCAGCAGCTGGGCTGCTCCTGTGCTGGAGC